TTTAGCTGAGCCATCCTGCCACCTGTTGGCAGCTCAGCAGCAGCTCAGTTTGGGCCGGGACTCGAACCGCTGTTGCTCAGAGCTTGCACTCTTGAGCGAGCTCTTAACCAACTGAGCCACTCGGCTGGCCCAATGTCTGTCATTTTTAATATAGCCATCCTAGTGGGTGTGGAGTGGTATCTTATTATGGTTTGGAGCAGAGTGCTTGGACTATATGTTGAACTTGACCTTGAACCCCACAAGGGAAGTCTTCCATTCTCAGCCTTCCCCCCAGCCTCGGCCATTACCCAGCCTCTGCCAAGCCTCTCAGACCCCTGGTAGGAATGGGCCCCTGCTTGTCAGTGAGTACAGGCTTAAGTCTTTCACTTTCAGTTGACCTTCCAATCAGTCACAGCTAGGGCTGCTAGTTCCCTTGTTGGATGGATGCCCTTAATTTAAAAAAAAAACAAAAACTCTCAGAGTCTACTCATTATGAAGAACGTTCCTTTTCCTATGGGCTGAACCTGGCCTGGCCCTGCCCATCCTGACAGGCTTCCCTTCTCAAGTTGGGAAGAGATTTCTTCTCTTTACACTTCTCTGGGTTCCTCAGAGAAACACTCTCACCTCTGGAGGCTTCTCTTATTGCCCTGGGAGGAATTTAACTTGCCTTTGTCAGGAACAGGCATGTAGGGGTGGCTTATTTTGTAGGGAGAGGGTGTAAATTGTACCTGCCACACAGACTCTAACTTCTATTATTTAAATACTAACATATTCTCAGCCCCTCCTCTGTAGGAATAGCCCTATATTATTGTTGGTATGTAACTGGGTAATGGGTGTAAAGACTCCTTCTATTAGAAGACTGTGTGGATGGGATCTTGAGAGGTGGTCTCCAAGTATGCCTGTGTGTCTGATGAGTCAAGGAGAACATAGGGCTATAAGTGCAGCTGGTGTATGGAGCCCTGAGGGCTCAGCCGTTGACTAGGTTCAGTCATCTTTCGTCTCAGTGATGAGAGAGCCAGACACACTACTGGCCTCGGGAAGAAGTCTGAGTAGGAAGGTCAAAAGCAGGTCAACGGATCAAAGAAAAGACAGAGGTGGCTACTGCTATCTCTGAGCCTTTTCTCATGCTGTTCTATCTGCTTGAACAGCTGCCCCATTCTCATTCTACCCACTGTCCAAACCTCTGCCACTGCCCTTCTGGGCCTCACTTAGTAATGGCACATAATCTTGGTCAAGTGACATTATAAGAAGCATCCTCTGAACCCCTAGACCTGGCTAAGTACCTCTCCCTGGTACTTCCAAAGCATTTGGGGCTTGTTTCCAGCATGACACTTATCTCATTGTGAGGTTATCTTTTTATACCAGGGGCTGCAAACTCAAATGACCACAGAGGCCAAGAAGATAATAAAAAATAAGTGAAGCAGGTCAGACATGAGAATAATCCTGGCTTTTAAGCCCAAACAAAAACGTTGTCCATTTTTCTTAAGTCATGCCGTTCCCTTGACCTACCTTTTGTTTTCTTATGAGAGTATCATAGGTACATGAAGCGTTGTATTTCTATCATAAGAATACAACAATGCAAAAATGAATGGTCACTGACTCCCTCAGCTTTGGGTGCAATAGGGAGTGGTAGGGACTGTGGCTCACATTCCCACATGGCATACTACATTCTAAATGATTGCTGCCACGGGAGAATGTAGGCTCAGTGCTGCCAGCACTACTGGTTTTCAAAACAAGCCAGAAATCCAGATTTTATTAGAATAAAAATCTGAAAACCTCCCAAATTTTAAAAGTCTGCAACTAATTCAAAAGTTTTAAAGCATGTGTGGGACAACAAAACATTTCTGAAGGCCAGATTCAGCCCACAAACCCCAGATCTACCACACCCCTGGTCTTTAAAAGGGGTAGGGCTGTGGGGTATTTAATGCTGAGTCCCCCTAAATTAGTACAGGGCCTCGCCCAGAAAAAGCACTTGATCAATTTGTGATACATTTTTGAAGAATAACAGCTGATATATATTTAGTACTCACAGTGAGCCAAGAACTTAAGCCCTTTACATTCATTATCTCATGTCATCATCCTCACAGCCTTGTGAAGTAGGCAGATTTGCTGAAAGTTACAGAGCTAGGAAGCAAGAGAGGCAGAACTTGAACTTAGGTCTGTCTGACTCTAGGTCTCTTACACTAAGATAGAATCTCCCACTTGGGGGACAGTATGGAATTCTGCATTAGATCATATTGTTTGGGTTTAAGTTCCAGATTAGTCACTTTTCCATTTGTCATCTTGAGCAACTTACATAACACCTCAACCTCCATTTTCCAATCTGTAAAATGGGGATAATAAAAGTTAACTACTCATAGGGCTGTTGTAAGGATTAAATGAGATAAGTAGGCACAGAGGAGACCATCAACTAACAATAACTATTTTTATGGTCTCAGTATTTTCCCCCTTAGAGTTATTAAATCATCCACACCCACTGTAGCTCCTTAGTCCACAAACAGGCTTATTCTGGTGGAATGCCTTGTTACTGAAGAAAAGACAAAGGAGTCATGTAAAGAGTTACTTCAGGTATCAGATGGCTGCCTTCTGAGCCAGCAGCACACTTGATAGGGATGAACATGATCAAAACGAATGACAGTGCTCAGGGCAAGGGACAAATTGTTCCCTGTCAGGCTGTGCAACAGAAAAAGGGATAGTTATTTTGGGTCTAATACTTCATCTCCACCAGAGCCTTGTGTTTCAAATCCCCTTAAGGCTCCAGCCAACTTTCAAAAAGAATAATTAAATCTGGATAGAAGTGGGGTCAGCAGGTCTCACAGTGCTTTTAAACAGGAAGTCTCAGAGCTGGAGGAGGGAAGTCGCTGAAAGCAAAGCAGCTTTCCTATGTATCAACCCAAAGAATTGCTTAATCCAAGGAAGATACAGGAGCATATTTCATCAAATACAAGTTGACCTTAACTTTAAGTCATATACAGTAAAAAAATTGATTCTAGGGCTAGCCGAGTGGCGCAATGGTTAAGAACTGGCTTGNTTAAACCAATACTATTGGATTTGAATTAATTACAAGTAAGGTTAAAAGGACTGACTGACTACAACAAGTTCATGGAATTTTCTGCTTAAGGTTAAAGATTAGTCTCTTATTCAAAGTATTAATGGGTAATATAGCAATAAATTGATTTTCAACTCTGTACACACAGAGGATGGGGAGGCACGTGAGAGGGACGAAATCCGGCATGACAGGCGGAAAGAGAGACAGCATGACCGGAACCTTTCTAGGGCAGCTCCTGATAAGAGGTAGGTGCTATTGGAGATAAATAAAATTTTGAAGAGTGGCCTTTGTGAACCTTTTAGGGAGGAGGTTTAGTCCACTAAGACCAGGTTTGCTTCTCCCCCTTTTCTCTTTAGTTTAATAACTTAATAAATCAGCACTTATTTCTTGCACTTAACTACTTACCTTGTCTTAGCAGAAGAATTGACTATCCCTGGAAGTAATCTTTTCTTGCATCACTTTGTAAAGTCAGCTAGAATTGAGAATGATGGGGATATCAGATCTTGTTTGTGAAACGACAATAGTTGGGTAGAACTGTTCTGGTCTGTTCTCTTCCAATTTCAAATGGTGAGACAAATGTATCATGTGCCTGTTCCTCTAGACAAGAAATAAGCTGTGATATCTTTATTGAGATCCTCGTACATGCAGAGTACTATACGGAATGCAGCGGGGGAGGACAGCAGTTTTTGTAAGAAGTGAAAATGGGCTTCTGCTCATGAGCAGTTTTCATTTAAAATTAGGAAAGACAGAGCTGTTATATAAAATGATTTGGGAAACGTGACAAAGCACTTTTTTTTTAATTGAAATATAGTTGACATACAGACAGCACTCTTAATAAAGTACTGACTTGTATAGAAGAAACTAAATGCATGATGGGAACTTGGAATAAAGTAGGGATTGGTGAAGTTTACAGTTCACCAAAGGCTGATGACTGACTGCCGAACAGCTGAGGAAATGCTGTAATATGGAGGTAAAATTCTCAGTGAGGGTTAAATGCAAATAAACACATTTTCTTTCCAAATGAGCAGTTTTGCATGCTTTCATCATTTATGAGTTGATACAATCCATTTTCTCAATTCATATCTTGAACATGAAAAAGAAGATTCCTGGTGGTGGTCTTTGTTGATTGATGGCATATTTCATCTCCCTGGATAAGTGAAGTTATGGAGAAGCAGAAAACCTGAATTTAGAGTTCTGGGTAAATGTACAGTGTAGAAGAAAGAGGAATGAAGTGTGAAAGTATGCAGTTAATGACACTTTTGGTCTGAAATGCTTAAGCTGTAAAAATCAAAATGTCTCTGTAGATAAATTGGGCTCTTAAAACCAGTAAAGTGGCTATAAGAATTGATAACATAGAAAAGCTGTAAACTTGTGATTGGATGAAAATCAGATTGTCTGTAGAAATCATTTTAAGACCTGAGCTTCTAGTAAACTAAATGACGACAGTTACCATGGTTTCATTGTGATGTAGATCGCATACATACTGAAACAGCAGGGGAATTAATCTGAATGTCGAAAATCATACTGAGTAATCTAGTCACTGACATGTTTTCCTCAAAGTTCTAACAGGATAAAATTACTAAATGTGGTTAGGTAAAAAAAACTGACTCTAGCTTATGGAAAATGATTCATATGATACATCTAATTTGTGTCCAGGCCCCCAATCCTCACATAATAATAGCAAATATAGACCATAACAATTTCCTATCTCAGCATTCATTGTAAGGTGATTGCTTGTATTAAAGGCTTCTGTGCCAAGAATGAGTCTCTTGGCAGTCTTTTCAGCTAACAGGAGGGCCTAGTTGTAAAACCCTACCTCCTCTAATAGCCATGTATCTGAAATGCTGTAAGGGCTGCCAACCCGATTATGCATTATCAGGGAATATATTTTCACAAGATGTTAACAGGACATATTCATTTCCTTTGCTGCTGAGATTCGTTGTATTTTTAAATTGAAATTCAGCTTGTACGTGAAGTTTTCAGTTAGTGACATTGTATTTCAAAACAGGTCGAAACTACAGAGAAATGAAAATCGAGATATCAGCGAGGTCATTGCTCTTGGTGTGCCCAATCCTCGGACTTCCAATGAAGTTCAGTATGACCAGAGGCTCTTCAACCAATCCAAGGTACAATAGAAATAGCGTTATCTGAAGTGTTGATATGAGTACCAATCCTCAGGGGAAAGAAAATTAACATCATAGATTTGCATCAGCCTAAGGTATGCTAGCACAATTACAGAAAAAAATTGGAAGCTGTATGTTGTAACTTAAGAGACAAAACAACTCTGATTTTGATCTCAACCAACCTATAGTTGGTTAAGATTTGAGACACTGGTAGAAAATGAAAGAAATTAGGTTATAAAACTTTGTTTTGGTATGTCCTTTTATTCCTAAATTAGAACTGGTATCCTACAAAAGTATCTCTTGGGTTTGTTTTCGTTGATCTTTGAAAAAATTTTTAATGCTGTCAAAACACGTAAACTTGGGCTCTTTAAAAAATGAAGCTGTAAAACTAGTCAGGAAATCTAATTTCTAGTCCCAGTTGTCATTAACTAGCTGGGACACATTGGGCCTGAAGAAGTACCTTTGGGTTTTAATTCACCTAATACTGATTATTTACTGTGCATAAGTCAGTGAGATCAAAAATAGATTTGCCTTTGCCCTCAGAAACCCTCAAGTCTACTGGAAAAGACAGATGTATGTATATAAGTAAAGACAAGGCAGACTGTGGTAAGAATATAAAAGTATAAAATTCTTCTGGGATATAGAGGGGACAAGTTAGTTATGACTTAGCGGTTTTAGGAAGATCTGAAGGTAGCATTTGAGTCAGTTCTTCTAGTTAATAAGTTACTGGGTGCTTTGTATATTCCTGGCATTGTTCTAAGTCTTTTACTTGTATTATCTCACTTAATCCTTACAAAAACCCCATGAAGTCATACTGTTATTACCTCTATTTAAAGGTGAGGAAATTGTAACACAAACAAGTTTAGCTAATTGGAACTAAGATTCAAATGGAGGGTGTCTTGATTCGTAAGCTTGTATTCTTAAAACACTATGCAATAGCATTTTACCAGCCTGAGCAAAGGGGGTTAAGCACGAAAATTACACATCAGTAAATATTTAAGTCAGCTCTTACAAGCTTAAGTTTAAATCACTTAAAAGTTGTGATGAAAATTTTTCTCAAAAGGCACGTCCCTGTATTTTTTTTTNCTGTATAACAAAACAGAGTAAATGTTTGGATATATTTAGTGCTTCGATTAATAAACTATTTGATTCTGTTTATAACATTGCATGTATAAGCTGTTTAAATCCTGTATGTCTGCTAATCACCAAAGCTTCCAGAAGTCATGAAGAATCTGTAAAATTATGTAGAATAAGTTTCCTAATCGCTATTTCCTCTTTTCCCCCAAATCATATTTTATAATTCTGTTTTTGATGGGTGAAGACCACTTTAACCCATGGATTGAATGTAAATTATTGCTTAAAGGAAGTTATGTAGTCATCCTAAAACAAAAAGATTTTTAGGTGATCTGATTTGGGCTGATTAATATGTATGTAACTTTGTGGTATGGTTAGTTGATTCTGTAATACTTCTTTGTATTAGGAATTAAGACCATGACCTAGAGGTCAGCATTTGGGAGTTCTCAGAAATATGGAAAAACAAAGCTAAGCCTCAAAGTTACATAAATATTTAAACAGATTCCTTGAATGGTTGAAATAGGATGCAAAATTTCAGAACACAGATATCAGTTGTCTAGCAAAGTTTTTCTTTTTTTCCATTTACTAAAATTTACAAGGTTCAAGAATCTGACAACTCATTAAAACAGTATAGCAAATTAAACTTACTACCTGTGGATACTATTATTTTAGTGATTTGTTCCACCTTTCTATGACTGTTATATTTACTTGAGGAACAACTATTTAGCTATTTGGTAGTGATTTCCTTTTATTATAACCCACAATATTAACATGAGACTCTATTTTCCCAGAATATGAGCTCTGAAGTCCTACTGTCTCTGAGTTTAAATCCTAGCTCATCCACTTATTACCTGTATGTCCTTGGGAACATTACCTAACTTCTCTACCTTAGTATCTTTATCTGCAAAATGGAAACAATAATGTTACCAGCCTTACAGAGTTAATGTGAAGGTTAAATGAGACCATAACATGTGAAGTGCGTAAACAGTCCTCCACACAAAACACGCAGTGTTAACTGCTGCTGCTGTTGCATAATTGTGACAAAAGATGTAAGAAAATGAGCCACAACTAAGTGGTTCTCAGAGTGGACATATTTAAATCTAATTTTAAAGAGTCTATTGTTGCTTTTTTGTAGCTGATGTTTTCTGTCTGCTTTCACACTAGGGTTATACAATTCCATTAGACAAACGTCTGGCTGCTGATGGAAGAGGACTGCAGACAGTTCACATCAATGAAAATTTTGCCAAACTGGCTGAAGCCCTCTACATTGCTGATAGAAAGGTAGATCTGTTACAATTTAATTGTTTAATGCTCTTGGATAATTTGTAAATCCATTTTTGGTAACCTAAGATACTGTATTTTAGCTACAGCACTGAGTACCCAGACAGACTCTTACTTGTGGTATGTGTGCCAAAGATGGCAGGTGCTAATTGCAGCGCTGTACCTGGTCTTAGCCTTTGTAGACTCATACACACCCCCCACTGGCGATCCAGCTTCCTCACAACATCCCCGAGTAATGATTTACTAGGCTGACCCCATGTTGTGAAGATTGACAGTTGCTGTTATTAGGTTTCATAATTTTCCTCTATTTAGATGTAGATATTCCACAAAAGGTCAGTAGCAGGGAAGGGCAAGTTAACATTTTGACATTGGTATCATTTTGACTATCTATTGATATTATGGTATTAATATGTGACTTTGAAGTTCACATACATCATGGTGTGTGTTTAGAACATAGAAAAAGGATATCTTTTGTATCACATTTTGCACCCTTATAAAAATTATCTCTTGAAAGCTAAGGCTTCATCTTGAGGTAATTTTATTGATTTTGAAAATGTAACCAGTTCCTGTTATATTATTGGTATCGGAAATTGATTTATTGGAATCTTGTTTAATTTTATTTTTTAGATTGTTTCTAAAAAACCATTAGGGAAACACGTGACTTTCAAGATTTATTGGGGTCACTATAATTTCAACCACTAGACCTTTCCTAGAGTGAAAAAGCAGTGTCTTCCAGTCAAGCCATCTTTTAGTGGACAGTAATCTTTGTTTTAATCAGCAATAACACANTCTAAGTGTTTGTGGAAGGATGACTCACATCAATATTAAGGGGAAGTTCAGATCTGCTAGGGCTGCTACCGTTGTTCTTTCTCTGTTTTACAGCCTATGATTAGGCAAAAGCTACTAACTGTAAGTTGCCTGCTGAGTATTATGGAGTGTTTTTCCTCAAACGCAAACTTACAAAATATGAACTGTTTTCTAGACCTCTTACCTGTGAAATTGAGCACTGTTCCTTCCATGATGGAAAATGGACAGAGATGGATTACTTGCAAACCAGTGATTTTAGTTTACATGTTGCTTGTAACTCATAATTGCCGTTCTCTTATCTCCGTAGCTATGTGCTCTTCCTAAATATTTTGCAATTTTCTATTAATACTTTGGGAAAGGAATTGACGGTGCAGTCTAGCTTAGGATTATAACAGAAGAAAAATACCTATTGAAAGCTTGAACTAATTAACACCTTTAGTTTCATCTGCATTCTTCAGATATACACCATCTCAACAAGGAGTGGCTTTCAACTCAGGAGCAAAACAGAGGGTTATTCGGATGGTGGAAATGCAGAAAGATCCAATGGAGCCTCCAAGGTTCAAGTAAGTAGGTGGCTTCACGAGAATGACCCACTATTCTTAAAAAAGACATCGAAGGAGAAAAATGTCCATCAACAGGTGAATGGGTAAACAAATTGTGGGATGTTTATACATGGAATACTATTGAGCAATAAAAGAATAAAATTTTAATACATGCAGTAACATGGATGAATCTCAAGATAATTACGTGGAAGAAGCCAGACAAAAAGAAGTACATATTGTATGATTCCATTTATATAAAACCCTAGAAAATGCAAACTAATCTGTAATGACAGGAGATAGATCAGTGGTTGCCTGTGGGGAAGAAGGCAGGACAGAGGAGATGAGGGGAATAAGGGATAGGTAAGGAGCACGCAGAAACTTTGGGAGGTGATGAGTGTGTTCACTGTTATGATTGTGGTAATGGTTTCATAGGTATGTACTTGTGTCAAAACTTAANTTGCCTCACTGGCCCAAGTTGGCACCATCATTGCGCTCTTCCAGGGTGAGGCAGATCAGTCGCCGGCCTCTGGACGTCCGCTCACCGCGGCCCGCTCATGCTGGCTGCTGGCTACACACGGTAGCCATGGCAACCCACTGCCACAGGGGCTGCAGCCTACCCACAGCAGCCCAGCTCCAGGTTGAGCTGTTGTTCAGCATCTTAGTTGTAGAGGACAGTGTCACTGGCCCTCATATGTGGGATCCAAACTGGGGCCCTCTGGCGTCCCAAGCCAGTTCTTAACCATCGCGCCACTCGGCCGGCCCATGTCCCTGTATTTAATGAACCATCCAGATATATAACACGTTTATTGTTTGTTTTTCACTTAAGATTTTCATTGAGAGCCCTATTGTCTCATGCAATAAAAGTGATGTTCTCAGAGGAATATATTATTAAGTGGCATCAGATAAATGCTTTAGTTCTTTCATCTTCTTGCCACTGTGTCTATACAAACTGAAATTGTCAAATACCTGCTTATATTAGTATCCCCCAATTTTAATAACTACAAGTCACTAAAGTAGTCAAACTTGTTAATGAGTTACCTATAGTTTTTTAATCTATAGACCCAGAGGTGATAAGGGAAGATTATGGACTTTGTAAGGTTTTTTTGGGAGATCTTTTTAATTTGCAGTTCAGATTGAAAATATGAGCTATAAATGAGCAAGGGTTTACTCTTCACATGAATGTAGTCAGATTCAACTTTTAGTATGTATATTTTTAATGTCCTCTGTTTTTCCACAGGGTATGGACAGTGGTTTTGCAGGTGGAGAAGATGAAATTTACAATGTTTATGATCAAGCCTGGAGAGGTGGTAAAGATATGGCCCAGAATATTTACAGGCCCAGTAAAAATCTGGACAAGGACATGTATGGTGATGACCTAGAAGCCAGAATAAAGACCAACAGGTACCAAGGCAGATAGTTCAGTTTCAATATTTGCATCAGTGAAAACAAAGTAGTTCATAGTCCTTTCTCTTTTTCCCTAGGTTTGTTCCCGATAAGGAGTTTTCTGGTTCAGACCGTAGGCAAAGAGGTCGGGAAGGACCAGTTCAGTTTGAGGAAGATCCTTTTGGTTTGGACAAGTTTTTGGAAGAAGCCAAACAGCACGGTGGCTCTAAAAGACCCTCAGATAGCAGCCGCCCCAAGGAACATGAGCATGAAGGCAAGAAGAGGAGGAAGGAGTAGACATTCCTCTCTTCAAAGTGAATGGACTGTGATCGATAACCCTAATGATGCAGGTCATGTGGGGGAACACTTTCTAAATGGCCAGGATAAAAACCAAATCTGGGGTCAGACCCCAGTGCTACTTTTTATTATGGGAGAAAGGGGGGATGGATAATTCTACTTTGAACTATTTAGTTTTTTTAAAAGAGTGGGTTGTGTTTGTGCTTCTCCCACCTTTTGGCATTTATAGAACATACTGCCCCGCACATGAAATTAAGACCACTTCCTTTTGTGTGACCTTAGTACTTTGGGGTAAGTACTTTGTGTAAGAACGACTGCTTATGAATAAAGTTACCCCAAACACAGTGAGAAGGATGTTCCCATATTGGAACTGTCCTGCCAAACAATGTTTTCCCCTATTGTGTTCTGTTTTAATTTGGAGTGGGGAGAATAAGCTCTTGCTTGGTGCAACTATTTGTTTCAAATAAAAACATTTAGACAAAATTTTCAGTTTGGGTTATTTAATAGGCAGTAATAGTCTCAAAAATCTTTCTCTTCATCAGATGTTTGTTCCCCTTGCAAAGCTTTTCGTCTTTGAGCTTGAACGTGGAGCTGAAAAAAATCAAATAAGCACTGTGAGGAAAGGCAATTGTCTGCAAAAACATCAACACTGAAAATTGCCACTTTAAGACTACCTTTCTGTTAGGGAATCAGCACCAATAAGTCAAGAGAAGTTTGTTCTTTGTTCGTTAAGACTCCCTGAACTTCAATTAAAAATTGTAAATCACCAAGAAAAAAAAAGAATTTAAAAAAAATTGTAAATCAGTTTGACCCTAGGTCACGTAGTAAGTAGAAAAGCCAGGATTTCAACCCCAGTCTCCCTGACTTAGTACATAGACTGCTGCTTCCACTGTTCGTGTTACATATGCATTCTAACCATCAGATGCTTCCTGTCCTTCCTTTCCGAGACCTCTTAGAACTGGGCACTCTACCACCACCAGCATTCTTTAACAAACATTAAGGTAGCTTTAATTACAAATCTAACGTCCCTGTCATTCCACTGTCTGACGTATTTAACTGATGTACAGAAAGTTCATGATATGATATAGAAAAATACCTACCTTTACTCCATCAATAACATGATTCTCCTGTTGTAGTACATTATGAAGTTCTTCTTCTGAAGAAAAGTGTACCCAACCCATACCTCTGTGAAAGCCAGTCTCTCTGTCCTAAAAATTCAAAATTTAAGGAAACATTAATTATGAACTTGCGAGATTTTCCATGAGCTCCAAATCAAACTACCAATTTTCATCTGCCAAAAAGTGGTAACAGGCATTTTAATAAATGTCCAAAACCTTGCTTTAATATTCACCTTCCTAGTTACCCAAAGCTTAATCCCTGTGTTAATCTTAACATTCTCTCTGCTTTTCTGCTGCCATTGGAGAAGTAAAATGGGCATGAGCTTTCTGTGTCATTCTATAATAGTTACAAAACACAGTAACAACAATAGTCCAGGGAAATTTTGATCACGAAGTATTCTCCCTGTTTCTAACTTAATCACTTCTAGAAACTAGAAAACTAAGCTTCAAAACCTAGTTGCACTTCTGGTAATTTCTGAGACCAATCACCCTCATCACCACCACTACCATTATCCATGTTCCTAATGAAAAATAGGAGAAAAGAAAATTTATGTTGCTCTTACTTACCTAGTCCAGACTTGCGGTTAATTTAAACAATTTTGCTACTTTCCTCTGTGCCAAAGGCAGAGTGCTTATCAAATTCAACTTGTCCATCAGCCCATGTGGAAAAGAGATTCTAATGTACTTGGATGCGTCCTACCCCACCTGCATCCCACCCCCACCTGCCCTACCTACTATGTAAAGTACAGATACCAAGATGTCACTATTCCAATGTACACCATCAATCTTGTTACAAATTTATGTTGTGCTCTGTCCCTCCCCAAATAACAAATTCTTAGACATTAGCTCCATGCTTCAAAGGTAACTGTAAATATTAACCTAAAACACAGGAAACGTTTCTGGTCATGTCCCAGTGATTCACTCTTTACCTCAGATAAACAGGACAACTTCTAAAGCACTCACCTCTACCTCCATATGACCATTTCCGTAAATAAAGGCCTTAAACCTGTCAGTGTCAAAACTTAGATAAATATGCTATATCTAAGATACGAACCTGGATTTCTAACCTGAGTACAATAAATTTAACGAGAGACTATTTTTTTTCCTGTTACATTTTATTTAGTTTTACCAAGAATCAAAACCTCTTGTTTAAATCTAAGATCTCTTAACTCCAGGTCCTAAATACTATTAAGAGGGAAATGGCAACCAAGAAAAATCTTACTTTTTATAGAAACTTCAAGAAACACAAATTTCATACTCTGTAGAATTATAGTTTTTAAGCTTATAGATTTTCATGTCCATAATACACATGCCTTATTCTTTTAATCAACTATAAAATTCCATTGTATCAATGAGTTAATATGTATTTAATCAATCCCACTAGTAAACACTTAGGTTCTTTCCAGTTACGATATTAAAGGCTACTTTCAACATTTTAACCACACATTTCTGTAGAATTCCTAGAAATGAAATTGCTAAATCAAAGCAAATGCAAATTCTTCATTTTGATAGATTTTGCCAAACTACCCTACAAAAATGAAGGTACCAGTTAAACTCAAGACAATTTGAGTGGTAGTTTCCCTCCTACACCTTCCTAGCACTAGATCTGAGTAATGTTATATTTTGGAAGGCAAGTAACATTAAACCAAGAGTTAGGAACTTCTGACAATTTAGGATGATATTTTACCAGCCTTTTCAGAGCCATGAGGAGAAAGGGTAGTTTTAGTGAAGTGTATATAAACTGTACTCATGTCACACCCCACAAAACCAGTAATTTTAGAAAGCCCACAGATAATACAGCCCAGGATAAAGCAAAACAAGTTATACATTTCTAAACCCTCATAAGAAAGCATATTTATTACATTTAAATATGAAAACACTTTTTAAAAGCACTCAATGAAGATAAAGGTTGAAATAGATACTCTGCCAATTTTATGATAAAACGATACTATCTCAAGTCTTTATTATAACACTGTAGGAGGCAGAATTGTAAAAAGGCTCCATCATATCCACATGTCCCACCATGTTACCTCCTGTATAACCCCCTCCCGTTGAGAGTGGGTGGGACCTGTGACATGCTTCTAACCAAAAAAATAACGGCAAAAGTGATGGGACATTGCTCCCTTGATCAGGTTATATGGCAGTGGTGATAGGATGTCACTCCCATGATTGCATTCTAAGACTGTTTTGGCAAGCTGGAAAGAAATTCCCTTGCTGACTGAGGAAGCAAGCTGCCACTGGAAAACAGCCTACAGATAAGCCGGGTAACAAGGAACTAGAGGCAGTCAGTCCCTAGGATCTAAGATCAGCCTCCAGCTGGAAGCCAGCAAGAAAGCCAGACACCTCAGTCCTAAAGCTGAAAGACAAATTCTGCCAACAACTTGTAGAAGCTTGGAAATCAATCTTTCCTGGTTGAGCCTCTGATGAGCCCAAAGCCCCAGCTGAACAGAGGACCCAGCTCTAGGCTGTGCCCAGACTCCTGATGTGAAGAAACTGTGAGATAATACATATACATTGTTTTGAGCCATTAAGTTTGTGGCAATTTGTTATGCAACAATAAAAAACGAATATACAATAAATGCCTAGGATAAGGGTTTTCTTTCTTTTTAATCAGAATCACCCATGAATTTATCAACAAAGACTGAACAGCACTCCATTAGACATTCAGGTAAGTTGACATGCTTTGACAAAAAAAAAAAAAAAGAGGATAACAATACTTAAAAAAATATAAGGGCCGGAGGGGTTGCTGTTGGCGCCGAGATAGCAGCATTCATGATGAACGTAATTCAGATTGTGCGTGACCACTGGGTGCATATACTTGTCCCTATGGGATTTGTCTTTGGATGTTATCTAGACAGAAGGAATGATGAAAAGCTAACTGCCTTCCGGAACAAGAGTTTGTTATTTAAAAGGGAATTGAGACCCAATGAAGAAATCACCTGGAAGTAAAAGGCTGTGGTTGAATTACAGAATGTTCACATATTTAAAATTAAGAAAGAAATAAAAACACATTATTTAATTTGAAAAAATAATAATAATAAGGGCCATCCAAGTGGCTCAGTTGGTTAAGAGTTGGCTTAAGAGCGCGAGCTCTGAGCACCAGGGCCACCGGTTCGATTCCCACATGGGCCAGTGACGCTGTGCCCAAGCTGAGCTGTCACTGAGCTGCCAACAGATGGCAGGATGCATCAGCTGGTGTAACAACAAGATTGCCTGTTTGAAGGTGGGCTATGCCCACCTGCAACTAAGACTGAACTCGGCACCTTGAACTGAGCTGCCCCCCGAATGGCTCAGTGGATAGAGCATTCGCTCTTAACAACAAGGCTGCTGGTTTGACTCCTGCATGGGATGGTGGCTACGCCTACCTGTAACTAAGATTTAACACAGCACCTTGAGTTTAGAGGCCACGAGCTGCCGACGGGAAGCCAGATGGCGACTGGCACCCTCCACAGTGAAGATTGAAGAACAACAACTTGGCCGTTCCCCTTCCCCAATTCCCCAACACTGTTTCCCTCCCCCAATTCCCCAATAAAATCTTTAAAAACAATAATAATACTCACAAAAGGTACAGTGCACTTTCGTATATGGCCAAATTGTGCAAAGTGTTCTCTCAGCTCACCTGTACAGAAGAAAACATTAAAAGTAGTTAATGTATTTTGTATCCTCCATCCTAGATTGTATATAGAAACCAAAAGGGTCGTAGAGTCCCCAAACTTCTTGTGAACAAAGCTACTTTGCATTTCCTGAAGCCTTAATATTTAGGAGAAAGCTATGGTATTGACTAAAACTGCAATGTACCAGATTTTAGGAGGTTGATGGGGTAGGGACATAAACAGATAAATTGCTGAGTTGACTATGATCTTCATCATACCAGCTACTGTACTAGATGCACAGGTTATAATCCTTATGAGAAGATCACAGACAAGACAATGACAAAACAGTGGCTAGCTGTAGTAGAGATTTCCAAATAAAATCTCAATTTACTTGGCTTTCATAACTTAAAGTTTCCACTAGGTTAAATAGTTGACTTTCTAAAATTTGTTGAGTTGACCCTACCTACTCTTCCTGCCTTATTTCCCATCGCTGGCCCATAGTTACTCTAGTACAGCAAATGAAATTCTGTGTCTCCATCCTGTGGATTCCCATCTTGGCACATCATTCTTTCCCCTTGATTTCTCAGTAACCCTATCTCCTCCTGCCTAAATTGTAACTATTCTTCAAGACTCAGGCCAAATACATGTACTGAATATCATTTTATTGGGCTCCTAATGCAATACAAGACAACGTACTAGCCCGATGAGGCCTCAAAGATGAACAGTGGATAATCGTAAAGATCAAAAACTACATCATCTTCTCTTCTGAACTGCACTGCTTGTACTTTTGCTGATTTACATTTCATATTACTTGCTTATTTCCCCTAGTTTATTTAACCTCATTGGCTCAACAAATGCCTACATTTGTAGTTTGTAAGTCGTCTCACCCCACCACTGCAGTATAAGCTACCTGAATGTTGAGTCCAATATGTCCACAATGATTGACAGATCACTGGTAAGATTGGGATCTCACATAACTTATTAGTTAATGAAAGTTAAAGAAAATAGTGTTAAATATACATGTTTAAAACTTTTAGAAAACATTCTCTTCCAAAACTAAGTCTGGAAGGTAACCCTTTTCCCAAATTACCTACAATTTTTATGAAAAAAAAGCTGCAAGCACCAAGAACAATGCCTACCACATAACAGATACTCCTTAAATATTTACTAAATGAATGAATGAACTGAGACTGTTTCAAATTTAAATGTTATACAAACTCTTTTGAAAGGTTTTAAACCAGCCCATTATGGTCTGAAATCTTGCATTTACAAGATGCTGGAGTAACCCTTCAGCCCTTCCACAATTTCACAGGGCCTAAGCAAGACATTTTAGTAGGCTTGGTCTTTGCCCATTATTGAGAAGGTGGTATACAAACCAATCTATTTCCCATCCTACTATCACACCTGGGCCACAAAAACTAAGAGAACAGTAACCTCTGTTCTATTCTTTTGTTTAAGGGAGCTGACCTGATACATCTACAAAAGTGACCATAAGCAAATGTAAAATTGTAAACTGTAAAATTGCTTACCAAAATTTTGGTAAGCAAATGTAAAAACCTTATCTCAACAGCAGCTGCCAAAAATCAGTGTTGGTGAGAGATTTCAGGTTTGATTACTCCCAACCCTCTATCTCCAGCCTAGGCCTCTCCCATGCGCTTCAACTTAAGTCATCATGACAATAACTATCACTTGCTGAGTACTTAATCTGTACCTAGCACAAGTCTAAGCAGTTTACAGACAAACTCATTTAATCCAATCAATCCTATGAGGAAGATGTTATTGACTCCATTTAACAGATGATGAAATTGAAGCACAGTGGTGGTGAACCCTTGACCCAAATGACTCTTCCGTTAGGATACACTATTAAATGGCTGAGTTGGAATTCTAACCCAAGCAGCATGGCTTCAGAGTGCACTTCTCAATCAATGATACACAACCTCCTCTATCCAACTGCCTGACGGAGGCCACGCAGGTTTCTCAAACTTAGCACATTGCAACTTGACTCATCTTCGTTCGACCTGCTTGCTTCTCCTACAGTCTAGCCACAAAATTCACCAACGGTAAAAACCTGGAAGTCATTCTTCCCTTTCCCTCATTCTGTGCTCCTCCCCCTTTCACGACATCACGAAAAGCTGTCGATTTTGTTTTAACATAAATGGCTCTGACCTCCCTTCTACCATGACCCAAATTCAGGTCCTCATCTTTGAACTAAATTACTGCAACTGCCTTTTAGTTCTTCTCACCTCCAGTCTCGCCCCCTTTGAATTCATCCTCCCCACTGTGATCAAATTAATCCCTTCTACATCGTAAATCTTAAAAGTTTCCAAGTAATAAACCTTTCCACCAAATCATCCCGAAAGGCAGGACACCGTGAAGACGTGCCCCAAAAGCTCAAGGGGCATCCTTGAACGGTTAATTGCAAACAAAATTTATTTCTGCTCATTGGTGAGCTCAGGAGCGGGCTCAGCGTCCTAATCCAGCCACCACGCTGATGTAAGTGCCCCACAGGTCGATCGCTGGGACCTAAAAATACCGCCCCTGCTCCGTCTCCATCACTCACTTGAGGCTGCGGTCCAGGGAATTTTTCTGACAAAAGCAACGGGCCGGCCAGTAGTCCTCAGAGCCATAGCGCCCCTCACTGCCGAAGCCGCCATTTTTAGGTGGAGGGACCTTCGTGACCTAAAGTCGCGACCCCGGAAACGCCTGTCAGAAGAGTTGCACGGGAATCTGCTTCCGGGCCAGAGGAGGCCTGGCGGCGAGATGGGGAAGATGGCGGCGGCCATGGGCTCTGTGGCTACGCTGGCGACAGAGCCGGGGGAGGACGCCTTTCGGAAACTTTTCCGCTTCTACCGGCAGAGCCGCCCCGGGACCGCAGACCTTGGAGAGGTCATCGACTTCTCGGCGGCCCACGCTGCTCGCGGCACGGGGCCCGGTGCCCACAAGGTACGGAGAGGGGAGCATCGCGCGCCTCCCCGAATTCGGCCTCATATTTTGGAGGGCTTTCAATGTCCTCCTCACCTCTTTTCGCTTCCAGACTGATATTGAGCGATCCTCGCCCTTCGTGGGCGCGGAGTTGAACTGCCCACGAACTTTGGCGATGAAGAACCCTGGTGCCCGTTTCTCCATGCGGCCACTCGTGGCTGCACACACAGTCATAAATGTCTGAGAGTTGGTATTTATTATTTTCATTAACTTTCCATGTGCATGTCTACATCGATTTGTGTACAAAGCCAAATAACCTAATATAGACCTGTCAGGCTCTGCAGCTTGAAAAACCAACTACCTGAGTAATCCCAGCACTGACAGGGATCGATGTTGTTAGGTAAGCCCTCGTCCATAAAGCTGGTCCTTGTCTTCTCTGGGCCATCTTGAAAGAGGGCATTGAAAGATTGAGATAATCTCTCCAAATTGAAAGTAAAGGGCAAACGAATCCAAGCACCATGCATTATTTCTATCTTTCCCCATGAAAATTAAGAAAAGTAACATGAGGCGGGGCGAGAGACACAGGGAGAATCACAACTATAGTGTAAAGTATATTTTCTTCACAATCACTCTGAGGACTCCTGATCACTTAATTTGCCAGTGGTATTGTCCACAGATGGCTGCATGAGGCATTCTTTCCAGCTTAGTAATAGCTCTCAAACTGGAATGCTGAAATAACACCATATTTGTCTAGAACTCAGCTTCTTGGAAGCTGAATTTGTTAGCAGAAAAGGTCTTAGTGTTGTCAAAATAACATACAGAAAATCTGCACCCCAAGAATAATATACTTGACTCGTGGGAGAGTCTCTCAGATTCTCATTCAGCTCCTTTTACCCGTATTTTACCATAATACCTACATACTTTAAAAATGTAAGCCACCTGAGAAGGGGACATTGTATCTAGCACAGTAAATATAACAGTAAGAATTCAATAAGTACGCTACCTATTGAGTACATAAAAACTTGAGCATTTCGTTCCCCAGCTCAAAACAAATTAAAAGTAGCAAATTAGAGAAGAAAATAGTTATTATTACAAGACACCTGGTGATAGCAGTGGAGAAAGTGATGGCAACAATTGGGCAAGGGCGGCAACAGAAATACTCTTTAAAAGCTCAGAATTTGGTTCAGTTTAGCATATGATTGATTAGGTCCACAAACTTACTTCAGATCTGAGGGTGTTGCTGAATTACAGTGCAATATTAAGTATGGTCTATTTAAGAAATAATCATAAAATGTTTAAAATAAACATTGGTCAGGACTTTCAGAGAGTTCCAGATAGCCATTTTATTATATAGACTGGTTATACACCAACCACTTATTTGGTATTTTGGGTGGAAATCTCCACAATTGGCAAAATTAATAGGATAAGAGATCTTATCTCTTTGGAAGAGAACACTTGATGTTTACAGACAAGCCAGACCCTAAATGTATTCATGGAAGAATAAA